AGAAATTGTATCACACATCAACATATCTATAAATGAAGATGACAATAGGAGAGGAGAGAGAGAGAGAAACTAGAGAGATCTTTCTTCTCTTGTTGTTGTCGTCGTCTTCGTTTTCCTCTTTGACGCAAAATCAATTATCTAGATGCAATTTTATCTTTTGCATTTTCCTTAGTGACATTGTCGCCAGTTATAGATGAGAAAAGAAAGAAACGATCTCGAAGAATGAGACGTCCTGGGTGCGTATGTATATTAAATATTGAATTGTTCGATGATTTAGATCGACGAATAAGAAGATCTAAATGTAGAGTTCTGTTTTCTATATTCATCTTTTCCTCTTTTTCCACTTGATTAAGATGCAGACAAGCAAAAATAAGAATTTCTTCTGGAGTGATGATGAACCGCGTAGATTTATTTTTTCCGTTCTTTTCTTTTTCTTCTCTCTCTTTCTTTTCACATCAAAGTATTTAATCAATAGAAATATTGTATGTGTATTGATAGATACAACCAAATGATGTGATCATTGTATCGCCTTGTGCACGTATTCGTCGTAATTGTTAACAATTTGTGCATACAAACGCTTTTCAATCATTTATCAATAAAGAAATGGCGTTGTTAAAGTAAGTTTTAAGTAGATCTTTTCGTTCCTTAGGGCGATTCCACTGAGTATAAAACATCTAAGTAGGCCTTCTCTAATGAATATGTTTGACGAGTCAAATCTAATAGCATGCTGTTTTAAGTCGAATAATCGTTTTCTAATAGATTTTCTTCTGATAAAAAGCGGGGAAACATGGTGAGAGAGTGTTCGCGTATATGTGCATTTGTAGTTGTCATTTTTCTGGCTGCTTTATCTAATCAGTCTTGTCATTTTTCATTGAAATGATCTGGTCGAAGTATCGAAGCGGAAATCATCGATGTTGAAAAACGGAACTTATGTAACTTATTTCTAATTATCCATTCTTCTCCATTTTCCTTACTTGTAAACCATAGCCGACAATGATCAGAAGAAAGTTTAATCTCCCTAACAAGATTAGCGCGAATGAGAATATGTGACGTAACCTGTGCAGAAAACAAAGACAGCATTTGATTTTCAATGATCCTTGAAAATATCGTCGATATCTCATGTATATATAACGTCTCCTGTTTTCTTCTCTATCGATACAACCAAAGAGTACTAGAGCGTTGTTGACATATACATCTACTGAAAGATAGATCCTCGTCATGTCGATTATGAGAATGACATAAACAGAGATATTGTTATGACAGTTCTCATAAATATCCATCTCCTTGTCTTTGAAGGTGACAGACATCCACCTCGATATCGACACATCTACTTTGATTTCAACCCACTCATCGAACAAATTTATCTCGATCGATGCAATACAGTTGATAGATGAGACAATTTGTTCGACATTGTTGGAATTAATGACTTTTTCTCTCGGTTTTATTTCTTCATATGAAATAGTCTTCGAAGACCTTGCTGTTGATGATAGAATCAAATTGATAGGATTTAAGATCATAAAAATGTCGATGAAATCGACTGATATTTATTACTCTTCACGTTCTTTGTCTTTTTTCTTTTTCAAATGTAAAACGAAAAGCTTAGCTCGAACTCAAGGCAATCGGTGTAAAACGGAATGCATGCACAATATTGTTTTATTTGATATTCATTTCAATAAACGTCAAGATTAATCTCTAAAGGTGTTCGTTCATTGACAAAACCGAAGAGAATCGAAAAGCTTTTCTATATCGAAATAGAATGAAAGAATTGAGGTGTAATGATATGATCATTTGGTAAGAAGAACTCGTCTTTAGTCATAATGAGCAAAGAATAGGTGTAAGATAGATGAACGATGTAATAGTTTCACTTCGTCTCACGTAGGACAAGTGTTTTGATGTTCATTTGTAGTAAGAGAACATGACACATGTCATGAAAGTAACCATAATTATCGAAAAGAGAATGAGAAAATTTACTCAGGGACATGAAAATGATTGAATGTGTTTAGCAAAGATGATCATTCGATGGCGAAGACAGTTTAGTAAAGTCATTTGTCAATTAGGATGACACATTCATATGCGTCGGTTTTTTATTTATTGACGTTCAATCACCAGTGACATCTATTATCATTTAAGTCTTCAGTTTCTTGTAAACACAAAGAAAAAACATGGAATTTCCGCTTAGATAATTCAGCGACAATATTTTCCTAAGATCTTCCGTCATTTATTCGGATCAATTTGTGATTTTCACCCAATGACTGATGAAATCAGAGATGTGCCTTTGCGGTTGTGAAAGAAACGAAAAATGATGTTTCCATCTGTCTCTATAGATCGTTATTTATGTCGGCGAAAAATCGCGATTACGATCCAATGTCTGAAGATGGTTATGATAGTAAAATTCCTTTACACAACGATGAAGCATTTCAACATGGACTCCAATTCAATGCCAAAGTAAAGCTTTTCATATCCGAAATTTCAGTTTCATTTGTTTTGCGGGTTTAGTTTATCGGATCATTGGAAGTACCGAAACCAACAAGTCGGGTGGAAATTGTGTCTGCCATGCGACGCATCCGAGTAAGAAAGAATGATTGATGAAACTCGGATGACGGTTTTTTCCTCTTGGTTCAGTATGAATTCAAAGCAAAAGCCGTGAAAAAAAGAAAGGTGACTTTATCAATATCGGTCGATGGAATCAAAGTTTGTCTGTCGAAAAAGACGAAGGTAAGTACAATTAATCAGAAAAAAAAGATTCCTGTGACGCTTCTTCTGTGTTTAGAAAGAATTGTATATTGATGAAAATGATATTGTAATTATGCAACATCCGGTCTATCGGTATGAATTGATGGAGTATAAAGCAACTTTGATCTAATCGATATCTTTTAGAGTGTTTTATGTGTCACATGATAGTCAAGACCTGAAAATCTTCAGTTATATCGCTCGAGATCATATCAATAATTCATTTCGTTGTAATGTTTTCAAAGCATACAAAAAGGTAATTACTCTTGACAACTTATATCGACAGGATAAGAGCAGAATAGGAAATACTATTCGTAGTAGACAAAGAGAATAGATTTGCCATAATAAGTTAGGAAGTCAGACGATGTTGATCAAGAGCTCGAACCAAGAAAATGATCGATTGCATGTAAGATAAACAGAATAACTTAGAAAGAGATTTGTTTGATCGATGGATTTATTCGAATATTTCCTGTTTAGAATGAAGCAATGCGAATTGTTCGGACGATTGGTCAAGCTTTTGAAGTTTGCCATAAGATAGCATTACAACAACGACACCCAACTTCATCTAATTCGACATCTAGTCCAACAAAGATCAGTACAATATCGATTGAGAACGAACCAACTCGTAGATATTCTCTGACACTTTTATTTCCTCCTAATCTTTGCGTTTGTTTAGCGAAACAAATCTCTCCGGAACATCTCGATTCGAAAGACAAGGGCGAACGTTATTTACAAAGTGTCGATATTCCATCGGTGAAAAGTCTTTCTGATCCCTTTCAATCTCTGACAGTTCCCGAGGAAAGTAAACCAATAAATATCTTTCCGACACACTCATCAAGTGAATTTACACTCAAACATCAAATGCAGTTCATGCAGGAACAGTTACAACAGATGCAAAACGAATCCGAATTGGCGTTTAATCAAATCAAATTAATCAAAGAACAATTAAACATTGAAGTAGCTGCGCGAATTGACGCACAAGTTCGTTGAAACACATAACTAGACTTCACATTTGAACATTCGTTTATTTCAGAATAAAAATACTCAACTACTTCAACGTAATCGTGAATTATTAACTCATATTCAACAATTGTTACTCTACACCAATGACCTGGAAATCAAACTGGCAAAACCAAATCAAATCGACTCATTTAAACTCCTTCCAACACGCCCAAAAGACCTACTTTTTTATCCATCATTATCAAATCAACATGGTTTATCAAGTGACTCACCCGATTCAGGCAAAGGAAAAGAAATCTCTTCTGAAAGTATCTCCGATCCTTATACCTTAACTCTTACTGATCACCAACAAATTCCGAATTCAACGAAAACATTTTCAATTCATGATGATCTCACAACTCAATCGATATCAGTACACGATTCATCACAACATACGCGAGTATATGAATCTTCTTCGCCCTCGTTAGTTTCGTCCACATCGTCATGCACATCGTCAACTTCAATGAAAAAACACTCGAAAAGTGATGAAAAGTATCTTTATCAACACATGAAGTCGAATGGATCATCTTCATTTACAAATTCAGCGTTCAGCCAAAGTCCACTTCGAACAGTAGCCAAAGAATTTGACCCTTTAATGAAATAAAATCGCAACAACATGTGCGACAGAGAGAGAAAACATGTTTGTGTCTTTCAGTAGCCGTTCTTCTTCGTTTCTCAGTGCTTTTTGCTCGGTGTGTATGCGCAAGCTTTGTACTCTATATCTTATAGAACTTGAACATTTATATATATTTTTTCTCTTGTCTTCGATCTATTACGTCTATTATTCTCTCTCTCTCGCACTATTTCTTTTAATTGTAGACATTTGTCAGATATGTTTTTTTTTCTTTTGTTTTTGACGTTATAATTTTAGCAATAAAACAATATTACTTAGCTTCACTAGAGTTTCATTTGTCCTTTTAGAATCGTAGGCCTCAGTTTGTTTATGATGTTCATCGGAGATCAATGGTCACGACTACTGCAGAGTTCGTTCGAGTCAACGCGCATTGATGAAAATCAAAAAACAGATCCTCTTCTTCCTTTGAATATCCTAAAAGAATCGTTCGGAAATGTGAAGGAATTGATCAATAGAAAAATCGTTCTCAATTTCAGATGGTCAAGATAAGTTACATTCACATACCACATACAAAACAGTATGTGTCTTATTCTTGAGTTTATAAGCCAATCAGAATGCAATCCGCGCTTTACCTATCATTGTTCCATTATATATTCTCGTGTTGCACATTTCAGATACTTTTCGAATAAACTGAGCGATGTCATCCGAAGACGAAGAAATGGAAGTAAACAAAGACCAAAGCGAAGACGGTATGGAAGACGATGATGATGATGACGATGACACTTCAAGTGATTCTTCCGAAGAGCAAATCGATGATACCAAACAAGAAAATGAATTAGCCGCACTTCGTGAAGTTGCTCAATCGAATTTATATAACTATCAATCTCATCTTGATTACATCAGCAAAGCTCGTGAGTATGGTAATCTCGAACATTTACGTTTCGCTCGTCAAACCATGTCGGAAGTCTTTCCATTAACCGAACAACTTTGGCTCGAATGGCTCGACGATGAAAAGAAATTATTAATCTCAACCACAGAAGAAGACAAAACTTTAGTCGACTTATTCGAACGTGCTATCAATGATTATTTATCAATCATGATTTGGATTGAATATGTTCAATATAGACTTCCGTATTATATGTCGATGAATTCCATTGAAAATTTCCGAAATTTGTTTGAACGCGGACTTAGTGCATGTGGCGTCCATCTACCAGCTGGAGGTCTCTTTTGGGCGGCGTATATCGAGACTGAAAAGGCAATTTTGGATGGACTTCGAATGAATTACGAACAGAATAGTGAAAGTTCAGATTTAAAAGAAAAACTTCTTCAACATGTTGATTACGTTTTAACGTTATATCGTCGACAATTATCAGTTCCATTACGTGGAATGTCGGACATTTATTACAAAGATTACCAAAGTTTCTGTGAACAATACAAAGAATTTCTTCCGGTGAATTACACGGAACAATATGATTTGAAAGTGAAACGCGAGTTCGACCTTGCACTTGAATATTTAGAAAAATGTGAGAAGTTCGAAAAAGAATTAGATAATACAAATCGCAGTGTAGCAACTTACAAAAGATATATTGCATTCGAGAAAGAACCAGCGAGAATCCAATGTCTCTACGAACGGGCAATCGGTAAGACCAACACAAAATCTCTGTAGATTTGCATTTTTGATATTTTTCGTTCTAGTTGATCATTGTCTCGATGGAGATTTATGGTTATCATACATTGACTTTGCTGAAGAACATCTCTCGTCAGCGAAACTCTGTCAAGCAATCTTCGATCGTTCGTTACGCAATTGTCCGTGGGTCGCTGGCCTATGGATTCGTTATGCTGAATTCATGGAATCGAGCCAAACTGCTGATCATTCTCAATTGAAACAAATCTACGATCGCGCATTGAACTCCGATCCGACAAATTTAGAATCATTTGTGAACATTCAATTAGCATATATGCAATACCGTCGTCGTCATTATCATCAACAATTATCGACGACGAAGGCTGAGCAATGTGAAGCTCTGAAAGAAGAAATTCGTCATGCATGTGAAGCGACTTGTGATCAATATCAAGAATTGTTTTCCGGGACCGCTGATCCGAAGTTATTTTTGAAATATAACGGACAGTTAGAGTTATATTGGATTCATTTCGAAACTCAATCTTTTCATTCCATCGATCGTGCGCGACAAATTTGGAATGGACGAACGTTGATGAGCAAAACACATAATCAATTAATTGCAAATCTTTGGAAGAATTTTTACTATACGGAAATTCATTTTGGAGATGAAAAACACGCGAGAAGAGTTTTGTATCGAGCGTTGAATCATATCGAAACGATGGATTATCCGATGAGTGTTTGTGACTTGTTGTTGGAACATGAGAAGAAGTATGGAACGATTGAACAATTGAAAGAAACGAAAGAAAAATTAAAGAAAATTCAGAAGAAACTTATTCCGAAAGAAAAACCACAAGTGAACAATAAGAAACAGGCCGAACCACCAAAGAAATCAAAGAAAACAACAACTAGCAAGATGGATACAAGTAAAATTCATTCTTTTTTTTTCTACAAATTAATTTTATCTTTCGATATTTTAGCTGCACCACCTGTTCATACAAACGGAAAGACAAACGATCAACCAAAAACATCACCTCGAAAGCGTCAACTGTCACCTGAAGAGGTCCAGACCGCTAAAAAGAAACCTGCGCCAGCCACAGTCGATAACGACGGTTTTAAAATTCCAGCTCCACCACCTGCCACTTCAGTATCAACTCCAGCTCCAACTTCAACTCCATCTTCTTCTTCAACTTTCGTCAATCCTGCAAATACCGATCACTTAAACACCGCCTTCATTGCTAATCTTGCCTATGATATCGATGAACAGAAGATTCGTGACGCACTTTCGCCAGCCGGTCCAATCAAAGACGTTCGCATAGTTAAACACGAATGGTCTGGCAAATCCAAAGGTTTTGGTTATGTCGATTTCGCGACAGCCGAAGGTTATCGTCAAGGATTGAAATTAGATCATACACTTATCAATGGCCGTCCGCTGTATATTAGTCCTTATGATCCCAATCGATCGGCATCGAATGATTTAACGAAAAAGTTCAAATACTCAACAGCATTAGAACAAAATAAATTATTTATTAAAAATTTGCCTTTTTCATCAACGAAAGAAGATGTTGAAAAATTATTCACTGAAAAAGGTTTTCAAGTCAAAGACGCTCGATTGGTGACTCATAAGAGCGGTAAATCCAAAGGACTCGCCTATGTCGAGTTCAATGACGCACAAACAGCGTCACAAGCAGTTATTCAACTTGATGGCACTACCATTGGCGAACACACCATTCAAGTAGCAATTAGTAATCCTCCACAACGTAAGGAACCTGTCAAATCAACTTCTACGGAAGCAAAACCAACATCCTTAGGCGAAGCACCGAGAGCGACGGGACCACGCGGTAGAGGATATTCACAAATATCGCTAGTACCAAGAAAAGTTACAGCAGCAAAAACTCAACCGGCTACCACAACAACGACGGCGAATGCAATGAATAACGATGACTTCAGAAAAATGCTTTTGAATAAAAAATGAGTTCGTGTCTTTTTTGTTGTGGATCTATTTCGATGATTTGTAATTTATAGAAAAAAAAACCAAAAAGCAAAAATAAATTCTTTTCTCTGTTGTCTGATGTGACTAAAAACAAATGTGTACTTGGTAATAGGAAGAATGACTGTTTTTCTCCACGCTATTCTAGAAGATTCTTCTATTTTCGCAAAATTTTTATCAATGACTAAGTCTATGGTGATTGTTGGTAAAAAAGTGAACAAGTGTCGGATTAATTACGAGCTCAGAAATGATTCCTTGGGGGGATTCAATTTCATTGTCCAAGTATGCTTCAGGCTCAAACGGAGTGAGGCTCGTAATCGCGGCTTGTTCGATTCTATAACACATATGAGAAACTACTTATTTTGCATCGCACTGTGGATGGTGCAATAATGTTTTTCTTTCTTTGAAAAAACGTTGACTTCCTATGATTGTCGAACACGTCGATATTACACCATAGCTTGGTAATATCCAGCGCACGAAAAAATTGCACAATGTTTCATCAGGATCATTACGACTATTACTGTAGTCGCAATGAAATTTCCTTTTTTGCAATAGACACTGATATTTAAGTCGTGCTATGAAGGCAAAAAAATTACTTTTCAGTAAGCAAACATGTCTTCTAAACATCAGTCACCGCGGCAGTCTCTCAATGCTTCTCCTTTGCCTGAGCCAAAACCAACCAAGTCAATCGTTGCATCAAAAGTTCCAACAAATGCAGACGCAAACGTAATCATCAGAGACTTGAGACATAATTACTTAGGTGTCGAACAAGTTACTCGACTTCATGATAAAGATGGAAAAGTCAGCGCCCGTGTTCGCATTGATTTCACATCGATCAAACTTGCAAATGCAGCTCTAAGCAAAGGATATGTTCTCATCGATGGCAAACAATGTCCAGTTCAAACATATCAACCACCATTCTGTTATCGATGTCGCACTGAAGGACATTATGCTTCCAATTGTTCACAAAAACCATTGACTGAACAACGACTCCAAGACTTGTTTCAACAACAACAACAGTAAGATGATTTCTTTTGTTTTATTTCATGTTCATAATCGATGTTTTCATTTGTAGACAATTAGAATCGATGATGAATGCATTTGAAAGTAAATGGAATGAACGATTATCGTCTGTGAAAACAAGTTCACCGACAAATGTCAATTTAGACAAAGTGATTCCAGTTTTGAAAGATTTGACATCAATTTGTCAACAATTCAATCAACAAAACGTTCAAATGCAACAAAAATTCAGTAGTGTTATCAATCACTTGCAAGATTTGAATCTTCAAGCGAGTGTTGAACAAACACGAGTACCTTTTCCTGAACAAAATGGACATTAGAGACCAAACAATGATAGAAAACTCTGTGCTCAATGTTACTCCGAAAATGTCTTATGAGTTGTGTGTAGATAATCCTATTTATTTAATAAAGAATTTGTCAATGGACATCATTTTCACTGATAAAATCCTGAAATCATGAATATTTAAAACGTCTAAATATAGATCAAGGTTGATTCGATGATCTAACCATTGTAGAAGTATAAAATCGTAATTCTCGGAATGAATAACTAATGAAATTCTTCATCATGACATTGACTACGTCTGACAAACGTGATGAATTACAAATTTCTCTTATAATTAATTATTCACTGTCCTCTTCTTTATTGGAAAACACATCGGAAATGAACATGCACAGGACTGTGACTACGAATTCTTTTCACCAGTTTTGCGATGTCTTCACTGCTGTTCAATCGTGACAAATGACGATTTTATTACACTACTTCGACATATCTTTGATGTATTTATTCTCCTTTATCGGACAAAGCCAAGTCAATTAGTTCTTATCAGACCGACTGATATGAGTCAAATGAAAACTGTCGATGACAATAAAACACTTCGACTTCAAGTGAATTTAAAGCATTGTTACCTTCAACGACAAAAAAGAAGAGAGAATCGATCATATTCGACTAAACAAAGAACATTTCAATTGTTCTTCATAATCAAACAACAATCCCGTCCAGACAAATATATCTTTAATGAACATCGAGTAGATAGTTAAATTGTAATCAATCAAATTTACGTGAAAAGTTTTTCAACTTGATGAAGCTCGAGTAAATCGAGAGATTTCTTTTCTTTGCTAATTAGAGTCGAATGAGCTAATTGATCGAGCAGAAAGATTCATTCCGGTTTAGTTCATTTCTCTTTCGATTGTCTAGGAAGACAATCAGTCGTGTAACTTCTATTGATTTGATTCTTAACGAAAGAAAAACAAATTATTTCATCGAATAACCTTCGGATATCCGGAGATAAGATTTCCCTTTGTCAAAACAACTCTTATGTATATATTCTCCCCTAGAACAAAAGAAAAGAAATCATTTCTTCAGCTAGATGATGATTAGCTTGATATAACAGCAAAGCCTTGGGTGATTATCGAATGTTCCCGATGGTGGATAAGATTCTATATCTCTAAGTGTCAACATCTTCGAACAAAAAGAACAGATTATACATGTCGACAAGAAACTTATATGAAACATAGTTATCAAAATCTATTTATCCTTGCTTGCCATGTTATGATTGCGTGTAGAAATGTGTCCTATGTGAATGTATATCTTCGATGAGTTAATTACACTTTCCCATAGTTTGCAGTACACTTGAGAAAAAGAAAAAGGCCGATTACCGCACACGCTCATGTTAATAAG